TCCAGATAGCAAGCCGTCTAGCCCACTCCCACCCGCCCTTCCAATACATAAGTATCATATCCAGGCCACGCAGGGGGTATCTAACATGGCTGTCCCGAGCTGGAACCACGTGTTTTTACATGTCCTGGCCACCCAGGGGGGTATCCAACATGAGTGTCCCGAGCAAGGACCACGTGTTTTTACGTGTCCAGGCCACCCAGTGGGCATCTAACATGGTTGTCCCGAGCAAGGACCACTTGTTTTAACATGTCCAGGCCACCAGGGGTGTATCTAACATGGTTGCCCAGAGCTGGCACCCACGTTTTTACGTGTCCAGGCCACCCAGGGGGGTGTCTAACATGGTTGTCCCGAGCTGGCACCATGTGTTTTCAAGTGTCCAGGCCACCAGGGGGGATCTAATAGGGCTGTCCCGAGCTGGAACCACGTGTTTTTACATGTCCTGGCCACCCAAGGGGGTATCTAACATGATTGTCCCGAACTGGAACCATGTGTTTTTACATGTCCAGGCCGCCCAAGGGGGATATCCAACATGGCGTCGGGCCCAACGCCGAATTATCAGGAAACACACAGGGGGGCCGAAAAACACTACCCGAACACATGTCCCAATACAGAAGAGTGATGTTTTCTTGCTCTGAACAGGGGGTTGCGCTTTGGGGGCCTCTCCAGGGAAGACATTGCGAGGATGTCTCGAGCGGGATCGCGAATTCAGCTTATCCAGGTCACGCAGGGGGGATCTAACATGGCTGTCCCGAGCTGGAACCACGAGTTTTTTCATGCCCAGGCCACCCAGTGGATCTCTAACATGGTTGTCCCGAACTGGAACCACGTGTTTTTACGTGTCCAGGCCACCCAGGGGGGTATTTAACATTTTTGTCCCGAGCTGGCATCACGTATTTTTACCTGTCGCGGTGCGTCCCCGTGGCACGTCCCCTGGCACGTCGCCTGGCGCGTCCCTTGGAACGTTCCGCGGCGCGTCTTCCTGGCATGTTGCCCTGTCAACTAGCTCTGGAGCAGCTACTATGTGGACTATGTGCTCAGGCAGCTCGAGCTTAAGATCCAGATCAGTTCGTTCAGGACTCGGATGCAACGGATGACTCGATCCACAACACTATAGAGCACAATCGCGGCATGGCACATCGCAGTTCAGCACGGCGCGCACAGCACAGCTCTCCGCACGGTACATCAAGATCGATACATTCACTCAGCATTGCAACCTGGCACGTTCCTTGAAACGTTCCGTGGCGCGTTTCGTGGCGAGTCCCCCTGGCACGTCGCGCGGCGCGTCCCCTGGCATGTCCCGTGGCACGTCCATTGGCACGTTCCGTAGCGCGTCCCCTTGGCACGTCCCGCGGTGCGTCCCCATGGCACGTCCCCTGGCATGTCCCCCTGTCAATTAGCTCTGGGGCAGCTACTATGTGCTCAGGCAGCTCGAGCTCAAGATCCAGATCAGTTCGGTCAGGACTCGGATGCAAAGGAGGACTCGATCCACAACGCTATACAGCACAATCGCGGCATGGCACATCGCAGTTCAGAAAGGCGCAGCACAGCACAGCCCTCGGCACGGTACATCAAGATAGATACACTCAGCATTGCATTTGCCCGTCGCCCAATCAGGTGTCTTTGAAACGTTGCCATGTCTTACATTTCTATATTCCTTTCCGGGTCCGTGGGTCGATCATGTTTTATGATAGGGATTGCTGGGGGGGTCCGTATCGGGTTTTTTGCGCATGCTGCGAATTTAAAGGCAGAGTTCGTTTTGTGTGGTTTTTTGACAGGGATGGTGTGGGGGAGCATGGTTCCTGGTTGGCTCCCGGTCGACTGGGGGAGGGGGTGCATATCATCAGGGAACAGTGATAAATCTCTCCCCGAAGGGGAAGAAAGGAGCCTCCCTGGACCACCTACGCCCGGAGGGCTGGTGGGATTATAACACGTCTAAGATGTAGTACATGGTACGACTTACCATGCCACTTCCCAGTAACGTGGGCGGCGTGGGGAGTCACATCACCACTTGGGTCCGTGATCTTTGCCGTCGTTGGGCCCCTCGTAGTCAGCAGGGAGGAGACTGGAGACGGAAGACAGGTCAAGCGAACGACATAGAGAAAGAGAGAGAGAGAGATAAAGAGACGACAGGCCGTCTTTGGTAACCGCGCTGCCCACTTAGTCTGCGGTCTGTCTCACGTGACGCTGGCGAAGGTGTTCGAGGTTGAACCTTTGCGACACGGAGGCACCGAAGGACACGGCAACGCCGTCGGGCGCGACGGAATGCGGCCTTCAACGATCGGGGCCGCTCCTCCTCCTCCTCCTCCTCCTCCTCTTCCTCCTCCTCCTCTTCCTCCTCCTCCGCCAAAGACCTTTGCGCGTACCGACGCTGCGCGAACCTGCCGTAGTTATTGGGCGATCGCGAGGGGCCTCAGCAGGAGGACCCCTAGTGCCTCCCAGGGGGGGCCGGCGGATCTCGGGGGCCGCCGGGGCACAGTCTGTCGCGGGCCGCGGCGCTCAGCCCTCCGAGCGGCTGTCCGGTGGCCTTCGGCTCATCCCGCCGCCGTGCCGGTCTTGGGGCCCTCCCGGCCGCTGTTTGGGGGCCTTCTCTTGGGCGTTGCGTAATGGGGGGGTCGTAGATGGGGGGGTGGCGAGGGTGGTCCGAAAAGGTACCCAAACGGTACCTAAACGAGCCCCCCGCGGCTCCGGAGGGGCCCGAAAGGGGCACGAAAGGGGACCGTTTCTGACCCCCCCATTTGTGACCCCCCCATTAAGCCACGCCCAATTCTCTTGGGCAGGGGTCGCCATGGGGGCAAGGTATTGGCGGAAACGGGTCCTGAGGTCTGTGGCCGTTTTCGGGCTCTCACGTCCACGGGCTCCGGGGCTGTCAGAAAACGATTCAGGATGAAGATCTCGTCCTTGGGGGAAGGCTCCAGGGTCCAGGACCCGTTTCCCTTAGGACTCGTTTCCCCCTATGGTACAGGGGGGAAGGCAGGTGCAAACCCGTTTCTGATCTTCGTTCAGCTGGTGTTCTGCTGAAGCGGGGCCCGGGTGGGGTGCGCCAGAGGCGCCGCCAGGGGGGGCGCAGCGCCGATCCGAGAGATCCGCGCGGACCTCCGAAAGTGTATGCTAATGGCATCATTTGTTGCCCTGCTATTTATTTGTGTCTCCTTGGGCCCCTTTATCGGCGGCGCGCCCGGGGGAACGCGAGAGGGGGCGGACCGTCTCAGAATGCCCGGAGGGCCTCGGGCCTTCAGAGAAGTCCTTTGAGCCTTTCCTGAGGACGCTCAGAAGGCCGGGGGGGATTCTGAGCAGCCCCGCCGCCTTCCGATCGGGCGGGTGGTTAACGGGGTGTGGCCCAAATGGGCGGTGAAGGGCCTTTTTCTTCACCCCCCATTTAGGCTGACCGACCCCGCAGGCGGGGTGGTGGAGGAGGAGGAGGCGGAGGAGGAAGAGGAGGAGGGAGACGAGGAGGAGGAGGAGGAGGAGGAGGAGGCAGGAGGAGGAGGAGGAGGGGAAGGGAGGAGGAGGAGGAGGGGAGGATAGGAGGGAGGGGGGGAGGAGGAGGGAGGAGGAGGAGGGGAGGAGGAGGAGGAGGAGGAGGCGGAGGAGCGGGGGCGGGGGGCGGGGGCGGGGCGGGGGCGCGGGGGCGGGGCGGGGCGGGGGCGGGGGCGGAGGGGAAGGAGGAGGAGAGGAGGAGGAGGAGGAGGATGGAGGGAGAGGAGGAGGAGGAGGCGGAGGGCGGAGGCGGGAGGCGGAGGCGGAGGCGGAGGCGGAGGAGCAGGCGGAGGCGGAGGAGGAGGAGGAGGAGGAGGAGGAAGGAGGAGGGGAGGAGGAGGAGGCGGCGGCGGCGGTGGGGGTGGGGGGCGGAGGAGGAGGAGGAGGGGGGAGGAGGAGGGGAGGAGGAGGAGGAGGAGGAGGAAGAGGAGGAGGAGGAGGAGGAGGAGGAGGAGGAATCATAATACTAATAAGAAACAGACTAATAAGAATAAGAAGCATACTGCGAATAACAACTAAGACTAATAATAATAATTATTATATAAGAATAATAATACGAATACTAATAATATTACTAAGACGAAAAATACGAGTAATAGTAAGCATAATACTAATACGAAGAATAGTAATACTAAGAGTACTAATAAGACTAATAATAATAATATTAAGAAGAATCATAATCATGAAAATAAGAAACATTTTAATACTAATACTAAGAATATAACGATTAAGAATAATAATAATAAGAAGAAGACGAATAATCAAAATAAGAATAATAATACGAATACGAAGCATAAACATAATAATAATACGAATAATAATAATAATAGTAATAATAATAAGAACAATGATAATAATAAGAAGAATAATACTAATACGAGGAGGAGGACGAGGAGGAGGAGGAGAAGAGGAGAAGAGGAGAAGAGGAGATGAGAAGAGGAGGAGAGGAGAAGATGATAAAAGGATAAGAGAAGAAGAGGAGAAGAGTAGAAGAGGAGAAGAGGAGAAGAGGAGAAGAGGAGAAGAGGAGAAGAGGAGGAGGAGGAGGAGGAGGAGGAGGAGGTCCCCCCGCCCCGCAGGCGGGGTGGGGCAGCCAGAGGAACGTGGGGAGCCCGCGGGGTGTCAGGGGGAAGGATAGGAGGGAGGGATAGGCCCTCGGATAGGCTTAAGTCGGGCCTGTTTCTCGACAGGAGGCATACTCAAATATTGTAAACAGTAGTCTGGGGACTTTTTTTGTTTTGGACTATCTTTGACTATTTTGGTGTATTGTTTGACTATTGTGTTAGTTTTTCGTGCAAATTTCGCCTGTAGGAGGACATGCCCGACCTAACGATATGCTCAGTGGGGAACGCATCGACCCCCACTCGCCCATGGATCGCCGATGAGGGTCTGATGGCCCCACCGCGCCCAGGAGCGTGCGGATTCGCTATCGGGGGCTTATCACTGATCTATCGGCGATGCATCGCCGACTCCAGGTCGATGTTCCCCCCCTGCGCCAGTCCCGCCTCATCGCTGCCCCTCAGGGTGGGGCCGCTGCCGCGAGACGCACGCGCGCGCAGAGAGCTCGCTCAGAGTGTGCGCCTTGGGATCCCCCACCCCTTCCCCCCCCCTGCGCGGTCGCGCTGCGTGGGGGCCCGAGGAATGCGCACGAGAAGGCGCGCACGAGGGGCACCGGGAGAGGCGCGCTGGGCGCCCCGGGAGGTTCGGGAGTGGGGCCCAGGCCATTCTTTTCGGGCGCGGCCAGGAGGGGGCTGACGACGGGGGGGGGGGGTGGACATCATGGCGGGGGCCATGATGTCTCCCGGAGTTCCGTGGCGCCCCTTCCTCTGTCAATACGTCCCTGGCCCCCGCCTGGGCCGCGCACTTGGCCGCCGGCTCTGATTTGCGCCCCCCCCCTCTTGGACGCCCCCGATCTGTGAGACCCAGTCCTGAGGACTGAGGACTGGCGACTTCAAGGGCCCTGATCGGACGAGGCCAGGGCGAGGGTAAATCCGTTTGTGAGAGCGTTCCGGAACGCTCTCCGAGCATTCCGGGACGCTCTGAGAAGGCCGCGGCGCCCGAGACATCCTCCAGAGCTGCAGGATTTCAGAGATTCTCGATGTGTCCTCGCCCGATTTTTTGCATCCTCGCCCTGGCTTCGTCTTTCCCCGAGGGCACTCCGACTTCGACTCGTGCCTCGCGGCTCGATGGCGGATGTAAGACGCACAGGGGCCCGCCGAGCGCGCGGCCGACGGTGCAGGCAGGGTCGCACTGCCTCTGCGAGAGGGCCCCGCCCGTCGGCCCTCTCGTTTTTGTGGCCCGCGCGCCTCCTGCCAGCCCCTCCTCCCTTCCCCCCCCCCCTCTTCGGATGCAGCTCCTGGGAGGCCAGATTCTGATTTTGCCCTGGTCCGAAATCCGGCCTGATCCCGCTGAATCCCGCTTCATCCAGCTCAGTCCGACTTGAACCCGCTCAATCCGGCTCAATCCCGCTTAATCCGAGACCCACTCCCGTGTAACAGCCCCCCAAATCGGCCTACTCCTCCGTAATCTTTCCGACGGAGACCTCCCAGTAGTTGCGTCTTAGCGCCTCCAGGGGGTGCCCGCGCACCGTCCCGCACGGCCGTTGGAGTTTTTTTTGTTTTCCTGGTTGTTTTCTGTATGTTTATATGTATACCGATATATATATATATAGATATAATCTATCATGCTTGACCATTTTGGAGTATCTTTGGGGTATGTTTTTATGTTTCGTCGAGAATCCCCTTGTAGGGGGACAGGCCCGACTTAACTCTACGGCCCGAAGACCGCAAACCTTGTGGAAGTCGATACATGGAGAGAAAGCATGCTGCCAAATCACTGCCAGATGTCTAAAAGATGTTTCAAACATGTTTTGAATATGTGAAAAAAATGCTCGAGACATTTTTAGAACATGTTTTACACATTTTAAACACATCTTTAATTCAATGATCGGATTGTTCGAGTGTCTATTGTCATGGCATCCACAACTCTACGGCCCGAAGACCACAAACCCAGAGGAGCAACACAGTACCGGCATGCCGCGTGCATCCCTTCGTTCTCGCCCCATTTTGGTTAAAGTCGGGCCTGTCCCCCTACAGGAGGAATATTCAAGCATAGTCAAAAAATAGTCAGGGGACGATTTGTTGATTATTTTTGGGGCTATTTTTGGATTTTTGGATATTTTTTGAGTATTCTAGACGCCTCGCGTATCCCCACCAGCCCGTCCAGAAATGAGTCCCAGGGGAGTGGAGGTTATGAGGGAAGCGGGGGAGCATGCAGAAGAACAAAGGGCGGGGTGAGCCGCCGTATACCCCAAGAGGGGGAGGATGTAGGAGGAGCCGTCGTCGTCGGAGTAGGAGGAGGAAGATGAGGAGCAGGAGGAGGAGCAGGAGGAGGAGGGGGAGGAGGAGGAGGAGGAAGATAAGGAGGAGGAGATGGAGGACTGCGAGGACGAGGAGGACGAGAAGGAGGAAAAGGAAAAGGAGGAAAAGGAGAAGGAGGAGGAGGAGGAGGAGGAGGGAGAGGGAGGGGGAGGAGGGAGGAGGAGGGAAAAAGAGGAGGAGGAGGGGGAGGGAGGGGGAGGGAGGAGGAGGAGGAGGAGGAGGAGGAGGAGGAGGAGGTGGAGGAGGAGGAGGAGGAGGAGGACAATGATGAGCTTGGGGGCCTCTTGTGGGCCGTCTTTGGGGCCTCTTGGCGGTCCCAGGGGCCCATTGCGTATATCGGGGAGCCTCTTGTGGCCTCTCTTGGGGGTCTCTTGGGGTCCTCTTAGAGGCCGTTTGGGGGCCTCTGGGGCCTCTTGGGGCCCTCTTGGGGCGCTCTTGGGGTGCTCTTGGGAGCCTTCGGGCGCTCTTGGGGCCATCTAGGAGGAGATCTATCAAAGGAGGGGGGGTCGTATATTAGCCTTGCCCCTCTAGAGTGCCTCTTGGGCCATCTTGGACGTCCCAACGACCCGCGGAACCCCTCGTCCAGGTCGGTGGGGAGGGGTAGGGGGAGGGGTAAACCCCTCCCCGACGGGAAAGAAGGGGTTTGGCAGAGGAAACGCTCTAGACCACCTACGCCCTAAAGGGCTGGTGGGATTTTCCACTTCTCGCCCCAAATCCGCCTCTAGGGGGACACGCCCGACCTAACCCGTTGGGCCTCCCGAGAGGCCCTCG